ATCAATTTTGAGTTATTAATACAGGCTTAAAATTTCGGTGCGAATCCACGAATCCATTCGCGTGAGGATTCGCCTAAAATTCAAGTGAGGAGAATCATTTTGGATTCTCGCAAAGTTTACCTCAAAAACGTAACGTTATCCACATTTTTACGGTCATTTTCGTAGCAGATTTTGTACATGCACGAACGTGCATCTTTTTCTGATGGGCGCTGCCATTTTGTTTGTTTATGTGTCCATTGCACATGCATCGTGTACTCTCGCTGCCTTGCTTGACCCCAGAAGCTTTAACCATCCAGCGCGTCTGCTGACTCTGGAGAAGCAGCAATCATCATGTCAAAAAGAAAAAAAAAAACAGTGTCCAAAAGGACCATATCAGAATGGCCATTGGAAATTCAAAACAACTTCGAATTTACTTATGACGATGTTGACAGGGCTACGAAGGCACACTGTAAAGTTTGCCGTGAAAACCACGGAAAGATACAAGCCAGGTAAAGTATTTTGATTAACATCCCGCTAATCATTATTATAAGTCAATTGTGACGTCATTACGGTAACTCCTAACGTTATTTGCCTATTCCTCAGCGTCCAATAATTTTTGTATTATTGGACGCTCGGCTTGATTTTTTAAAGTTTCGTGTGCAAAAAAAAAATTCCTCCTTTTTTTCATCACCACCACGAATACATCGTGCACCGCGGTAAAAATTGAATTGTAATTGAAAATTACTTTCATAAAACAAGCTTAATTAGAACCCGAAGAAAGTTACTTCAAAATCAATATTAAGTATGAACAATTAAGGAATTCATTGAATCAATGGACCCTCATAAACACAACAAACTGAACGTTTAATAGAAATATTCTAGACCTATTTTAAACTCAAGGAACAAATTTAGATGTAGGCCTATGACAAGGCAGGCCGCCCGGGCCTCCTCCTACTATTACTAGGCATAGGCCGTAGCCTGGCTAGTTATAAAATAATCGCATGATTTTACCTGCCTGCATGCACCGACCAAAAAGGACGTCAGTGACTGTATTCCCTCTCAAATGCTGAAATGTTTATTTCTTTGACGAAAGTCTATCAATATAGCATTACAAACAAGTTCTTTCTAACACAATAGTTATGCATCGTATCCGTACTGTACTGCTGATGTTAGATGAGTTAAACGTGTACTGCAGGAGCAAAAATCAGCATACGCACAGCTAAATGTAAATACGCACATGTATACTGATCCTATCACTATAGCAACCGATGACTGCTATGACAGTTGGTTATAAAAAAACTAAAATTAAAACTCGGCGATTTACTTATAAAGCAATTAGTAGAGCATGCATCGTACACTAAACGAAAAATTATTATACTTAGGTTAGATTTAATGCATTCAAAAATTTCCTTCGGGCCTTGCAGGCCCTCAGGAAATTTTTTCAAGCATTAAATCTAACCATCGTACAATAATTTTCCTCTGGTGTACTATGCGGAGCTCTACTAATTGCTTATCGGTAGACATGTTGAAGGGATGACAAAAAACCCAAGTCAGTGGTGCGTAACCAACAAAAAGAACATAAGCTTTTGACGCTAAAATCTTGACATCATGTTATTTAAAAATTCGTAACTCCATAACGGAGGGTCTTATCACATTAGTTTTTCCTTTAAAATGTTCTTAAAAGACATTCTACACCACTATATGAATGAAAAAAAAAAATTTTGATTTCTGAAATTGAGGTGGAAAAAGAATAACCTATCTAAATACTGCACCGCTTTGGTGAGCCTAAATTCACTAGTGTAGTATATTAATATAAAACAGGCCTGCAGACTAGTAGTACTGTTTCAGTTACCGTATGCTTACAGATTTCTCTTATAAAGTACAAGTTACGTTTTTAGAAAGTGTATTAATTTATGTTTTAACACAAGAATATATCTAAGTAATAATACGGTAACAGAAACATCACACTCTACTAACCTCGCTTTATTGTACTGCAAAGGCCTATTTTAATACACTATTTAGAGTTTCAATCTCAATTTCAGTATATTGTAGTTGATACAAATATCTTTCAAAATATGCCATGTATTTTTTATTTTGATGATGTCATCAGTCTTATAAATAATATAAAGACGCAGACACAAATAAATTAAACAATAAGTTTTTGTGAAAATTTATTAGAACACTATCAGGTAGAAGAAATATACAAGTGAACAACCGACAACAAAAACATCGGATTCTAAGGATTCTCGCAAAATTTTTTTGCTAAAAATCTAAACCGATTCCTGTGAATTTGAATTAAATTTTAACCCTGTAATACAGTGTTAAAGAGTAAAATAAGAGCTATAAAATGGAAAAATCATTGAAATTTGACATTTCCTTATGAAGTTACAAGCATTTAAACATACAGCTGTTTAAAGAACAATATATGAGAAATCAGCCTTCAAAGTTTATGATTCCGGGCATTTCTCTTGCAGAAACTATCATCAAATCCTTAAAAAATGTTGTTTTAACATTGAAAAGGGGAAAATAGGAGCATAACGTTATGTATAGATATATAAAGGTTAGTTTAGTGCAATAAAATAGATTTTTAAAAATTTAACATTCCAGCATGTTTTGGCCATTTTCTCTGATCCACAATTTGTGATGAGTGACTGGTTTGGCTTGTCTTTGCCACAATTAGGCTTCAAGAAATTCTGTTTGTTGAAATGAATCAAGCGGAGATCGATGCAACAAAATATTGGCACTGAAAAACGAGGTGAATCGCTGCATACATTTATGTTTGGCGTTTTAAAAGAACATAGTAATACACATATTCCATTAAATGAACACTAGGGCTGCAGTGGTACTGGTGAAGATTGTAGAGAGTTCTAACCATAGGGCTATAGAACCCAACTCTATAATCAATTAGCGTGATTTTTATAGGTTAAATTGTTTATGCATTTCATGTAATTTTGCATAGAACCTAGATATAGCTAGGAAAACTCCAATTGCATTTACATAAAAGTTTAATTACCAGGTTATTAATATTAAAAATATGTATGGTCTTTGCTTGGACCAAATTTGAAGATGATACAAGCAGTGGCAGCTGGAGTATATATTTTCTGGGTGGGTGGTGGGGGGGGGGGGCTAAGCTGTCTGATAGAGGGGCTGAGTAAGATAAAGATAAACTTTGGTGCGCATCGCCATCCGAGCGCCTCCTGACCGAGCTGGTCCATAATGAGATTTTTTTTTTTAATAGGTACCTCTGGATGGCCGGAAATGGCACTCTTAGACTTGAAAACTACTTTTTTAAATGTAAAGTTGATAAAATAAAATGTGATTATACTCTCATACTCATTAACACGCATTTCATTTACTTTAGGCCTTTTTTTGTCCGACTGACCAGTGAGCTATTGCTGGTGTGGGGGGGGGAGCTTGACCCGTTCGATGGGGTTCAGATTGGGCAGTTAATAAATTTGGCTCTGATATTTAAGAGGGTCATCTATTTTTTTCAAGATAGGAGGGAGCAGTGAGTGTGCCTAATGGGGAAACAAATTGGGTACCAATGTTCAAATGAGGAGAGAGCAATAGTAGTATTCTGTCATTTGCTCAGCAAATTTTTAATGGGTTCCATACACTTTGATACTGTGTCACTGCAATTAAATTTCCAATAAACAATGTGGTATTTATTTGCGGAAATGCATCGCAAATATATAGCATAAAATAAACAGATGAGCTCCACATTCTTTTTCCATTTTAGATGGTTAAAAATTGCTAGTTATATAAATGACAATTTTGACTAAAAAAAAAGAGAATAGCATGTCCTGGTCTGCTTCTGGATACACCACGAAATGAGACGCATCGTTGGTGAAATCATATTGAGATATTCAAAAATTGTTATTTATATTTTATGACTGTATACTTAAAAATGAATTTTCTTACTAAAAATGTGTTCTCTGTGCACATATTCTTTAATTCTAGTCCCATTATTTGTACAGGTTAGTTTCTCCAAACGTGGTTATCATACACATCTCTTTATCTACTTATCCTAGGGACCATTCAAAGACCAAATTAAAGCTTATACAGTAATGTTGTCTTTTAAATATAATATATGTAAACTAAATTTTTGTGGTGAGACCACATTTGTGTGAAATAGACAAGGTTAAACCTAGCAAAAGTAAATACATGGCAATTCAACTTTAGTTTTCTCTCATACAAGAATATAATAGTTTAAAATTCACTAAACGTTGTAACTGGGCATTATGAAAATATGTTGGTCAGCTGAAATATATTTTAGGTATATTTTGCCATAAAGTTATTTGAAAATTAGATATTTTCGGAATATTTATCCATTTAATTTTATTTTTGGAGGTATATTTAGTCACAATTTAGTAACTGATTATATTAATATACTTTATACATATATACTTTATATTTTTTTTGACTGATCTGTAATGTGTATTTGTACCCAATGCTGTAGCTAGCTATTGGGACAGTTCCACACAATTTTTCTAATGGGTCCACAAAAATGGGTCCAAATTGTGTAATTTTATGCATAAAATGGGACCAGATTTCTCATATTTAGCTTAAAATGGGTAAATTTTAAGAAAATGGGTCCAGATTTTTCATATTTTTGCGTAAAATTGGTCCACATTGTTTGAATTTATGCGTAAAGTGGGTCCACCCTGATATTGTCTCCCACTGTTTGAAAATCCTGGTTACGGCATTGTTTGTACTCTTTTTCATCTATATTGTAATCTGTGACAAGCAAAGCAAATTTTTGACCAATAATATCAAATTGAATTGAATTAAATTGATATGTAAGGCTTAAAGTAACCTATTAGCATAAGAATGAGAACAAACATTCTCAGAGGACTTGATGACAGACAGGCAGAAGGATGTTAACTGATTCATATGTCTAATTTTAGATCAAGTTATCTGCTAACCCCTGGGGAGGATGAAACGAGAGATGTGCTTAAAATGTTGTCTAAAGGCTGCACTACAGCCTTCCATAGGAAAAATAAACAGCTAGGCTAGCTTTGTGGTCTGTTTTCAACTCTTCTACAATTTTATTTGCTTCTTAAGTATGCAGTTGCACCTAAATTAATTATAATTTGAAGTTAAAAAAACAAATAGCCATTGCTCGTAAAGTTACAGACAAAATTCCAAGCACTGAGGTAAGTTTATTGCTGCGAAGCAGCCAATTCATATTCTTGACAGCAATTTGACCTCTGAAAGGTCATTGTTTGTCAAAAAACGAGTGCCTAAGACGACTGAAAAGCGAAGTTTCCTTCTTTCGTTCTGCCGGGTAAAATCAATTATTTTAGGCGACGTTTGTAGACTAACCTACTCGTACCAACGCCCGCATGTCGCGCTAGCCTTATCCTACTCTAGGCCTAGACTAGCTAGGATGGTATAGGCCTAGCCTTGAAGACGAAGGTCCCAATGAAAAACAACGTCGCTCTTTGATAGCTAACATTGTCTATTTAACATCAGAATAATTCATTATTAGACCTATAGTTGTTTTTTGAATTGTACTCCACAACTGGCTAACGTCTCTATTGTTGTGACGTCATGGCTCGCTGGCTCACACTTGTGATATGTCTCGCACTTGTGATCAAATAACATGCTGGCTCGCACTTTGGCAACACTCTTTGGCAGTCAACTCGCCCCTAGAAAACCAGCCCTTGGAAACTTGCCCCATAAAAATTGTTTTTTTTTTGTAAGATAAGATTAGATTAGATTTACTGGCTTTCTCTTTTATAACAGTGGAACACTGTCGCACAGGAGAGGTTCGACCTGTTCGAAATCACAACATTGCAATCAAAATTATTTAAAATTAATTATTAAAAAATACAACTAAAGGTAACAAACACCAAAAGTCTTTGTTTTTTACTTACTTTTGGCGAGACCTTTTTTATTCCTTGTTTCGCATAGTTATTTCAAGGAGGTATTGGTTATTTTGTGAAGATTATCGAAGGAGGGCGGAATAAAAATAAAATTTTGTTTTCTTATTTAGCAAATAGTTTTGCCAAAATTATCCAGATGGAGGAAAAAATAAAAATAAAATTTTATTGGTGAATGTAAAATAGGATGGTTAAATGCATCAAATTTATAATCTTATCTTTGGAGATTTCAAGGCAGGGGATGGCGTAATAAAAATAAAGAAAAACTTTTATTTTTTTCTGAATTTCCACTTTTTTCGTGGCGGCGGGTGCGCTGATTGGCCAAAAATAAAGTTTTATTTGCAGTCGGCGGGTTCACTAAACAAGGTGTAATAAAAGTTTTGCCTTAAAAAGTATGTACTGTATAAGAAAAAGAAACATTACACTCTTATTATAGTACAGTAATTAGGAAATTAATAGAACATTAATAGAACATTTCTTGTTACAGTATTAATGAGAATAAAAGTTGAGTGGAAAAAAAATTTAAATAAATAAATACACTAAAATAATAATAATAATAATATTAATAATAATAAAACAAACACGCCAAAGTTTATAAATATATAATAGCTAAATATTGGTGGTGTTTTACATTACTTGAGTCCTTTGAGGCATTGCTTTTGTTAAATATATTTTCCAATGGTAGTCAAATGTTTTACAAATTTCTATATTTTAGTATACATCATAAATATTATCTAAAAGTACTGTAAATGGTGTCTAAATTCTCATAGTTCACATAGAACCATCATCGATATTATGGCTGTACGTTGCAGCGCCCCTGCCTTAGCTGCTCGGCCATTTGACTCGTTTTAGTCATGAAAAAAGTCTTGCTGTCTCACGAATTGCGTCCAGTATCTTGGGATTGGAAGGCAACCATCTTAACCACCCAATTCAACTCCATTCCAGTTGAGAAACTATATCTATTGAAATTATATACAAAATATGATTGAATATTATAATTTGTTTTTTCATCCCAATTTCTCTTGAATTTATATATTAAATGACATCAATTCAACTATTGGAGTGGTAATATCAACAAATTTGCATTTCATTTATCTTTATATTTGAACATGGTCATGTGACTCCACCAACATACAGCTTCCAGTATGCAGGTAGTTGCTGAAATCTCATGTGGATAAGAAATGTAATTCATACAGGTGTTCCATGCATGATTTCAAGAAACTTTCGAATTGCCAACGCGTCACTTTCGTAATACATCTCCTGAACTTATGAAACTACATAGAGGAATCTAGACTATCTTATATTTACCTTTGTAACTTTTAACAATTTTAATTTACTTTTAGTTCTGTCATTTCCTTTGTGGTCACTCTAAAAGCTTATCAGTTTGAATTAATAACTTTAGTAAACATTATAGTTTAAATTTTTCTTACAGTTTCACTATTTGCTCATGTATTATTTCAGATTGTTTATATCAAATATTGATGTTATGTATTCAATACCTCTAATAAATACAGATGAAGAGACATAAAGCATAAGCAACATTTTCAGAACAAGAATTATTAGAAGATATTGGGGATGACCTCTCAAATTCAGTGAAATCATATAAAAGGTACTTATTTCCAGAAGAGCCTACTCGCACTAAAATTGATTTACTGTAATAGAAAAAAGCTAAATTAACTAAAATTATTTTATTTACCGTATATTAATTTTGTCTATATATGTACTGTAAATAATAATGAACAGCTCATATTATTATTATTATAAATCATGTTCATACATTAAAATGCATTTTACACTGAGGGTCCCAATTGGTCAGAGCTGGATGGACAAGCACCCTCACAATTGTTGAAAAAAAATACAATAATAAAGTACTATTTTCATGAAAATTTTCACATCATATCTATAACATTCGTTAGCAATTCTTCATAGTATTTGTAGGCTATTAATGAAAGACATCGATAAACAATTGATGCATACTGTACAACATTTTACATAAACAATAAGAGATAATTTTCTCTCAATTGTTTTAAACTGTTAGTAGAGGTGTTTTTGCCTTGTTCATGATTGTAATTTTAGGAAGCTGCTCGTAAAGTATTTAGAGCGAAAAATTGAAATAAAATAATGTTATAGTTTTTGAAAGTTTTACAAAATCAAATCTATTAAATATTAAGTTTTAGGAAGCTGCTCGTAAAGTATTTAGAGCGAAAAATTGAAATAAAATAATGTTATAGTTTTTGAAAGTTTTACAAAATCAAATCTATTAAATATTAAGTTTATCAATAGAATTAGCGATAAAAATTGAAACACTTACTAATTATATTACAGTATTTCATAAAGAATTTCATTACCAAAAGAAAGGCTAGGGGATATTTTCTAATGTAATGGTCATCTTGTTATTGGATGCTGCAGGTAATAATGTCCAGTCTTCTTGACCTGTACACCTGCCATTTTATGCTCTTCTTTCAAGGTCACTGTGATATTGGCCATTAATAGAAGTGTCAAAGATAATAAACCAAATGGAAATGTAAGCCTAAACATCTTGCAACTTTGTCGGTATACTTGACCTAGAATGACCTCTGCACCGTGATGAGGGTTAAGAAATTACTACTATGGGCCTGTTACTACTTGAAAGAAAAAATTGAATTAAAAACCTTTTTTCTTAGAAATCTCTTTTTTTCTTGCACTAGAAATAGGACCAATTCAAAAAAAGAAATTTAGAAAATGTGATTAAAATCATGCAATGGATAGCATGTTTGAACGGCAAATACCTGATTTTGGCTGTGCACCTTTTAGCTGCAACAGAAAAAGCGATTATAAGGTGAAATGTGACCTTCACGTCAAACCACTGCAGAATTAGATTGTATCACGCACAAACTTTCAAGATTATTAGTCCTCTTGTTCATGTCCTAGGCCTACAAGCTAAAACGTCAACAAACATGTGGAGCGACGAAATCCTTTTGTAATTATTTTGTGGGCGATATTGGGCCTAGGCCTCTCAGCTCTTCTGTGCCTACCATTGTCCTCGTTTGCACTTTCTTTGTGCCGATGAGCAACAACCGAAATCATTCGCCGCATACCATCCTACTCCTCATCAACATGACTGGAAGTCATTTGAAGCATATTGTCTTGTTGTTGAGAAAGAAACTATACAGTTTGGAAAACGTGTATAAACAAAATGGTGACTTAATTCCGCCACAAAAACCGATTGTCATAAAAACAAAAATGCATTTGCAATGTGGGCAGGCTTTGTAGTGACTCATTAAAAAAGCGGTTAAAAATTTTCATTATCTTGCATTTATCAGCTCTATGGTTGAAACACGGCCTATGCCAGTGATCCCTAATTCCAAGGGCGTCAAAATGGAAGCAAATAGTGCCATAATGTTGGTCTTTTTGTTTTACGGTAGTTTATTAGGAGGTAGTGTTTTAGATAACTTTTCCTTGTACCCTCTGCTGTTTTTTTTTCTGAAGTGACTAGAGCATTTCCAATTTGGAATAAACCTTAAATACGCAAAATAAGGTGTGCTAACTCTTATGCTTAGAGAATGATCTTATAATATCTACTCATAATTTGTACTTAAAATTTTTTTTGCAGAACATATTTTAATTTTAATCAAGTTTAAAATATACAGTAATTAAGTGTTTAATTTTACATCACAGAATTATTTTTATAATAATGAATCCGGTGTCCTATGCAAACGTAAAATTAAATTATACGAGTTGATTGGCCGAGCGGTTAAGTCGGGGCACCATGACCTTCAGCTATAATATCAGTGCTGGTTCGAATTCCTCACTCGCATTTGGTTTCAGTGGTAGAACAAGTCTTCTCGGATAAGGATTTCAAACGGTAGGCCCAGTGTACGCATTTGGCTCATGTGCACTTTAAAGAACCCAGTACATCCTTCGAGAAGAGTAGGGGGCTACCCCTATGTACTGGTCCATTCAGTCCCCTGTTGTTTAATGGATATGCCATGTAGGATAGGGATTAAGTTTGCTGATTGGCATATCCTTGGTGCTCGTGCCTAAAGAATAAAAATAAATGAAAAAAAAATGAAAAATACTTTTAAATACTATTATTTTTCTTGTTTACTGTTTATAAACCATGTACATTAGGAATAATTATATTTAATTAAATAAATCAAATAATGATTCATTTTTAAAAAGATAATACAGTTGATGATATGTTCATGATGTAGCAAATTCTGTGGACCTCTTTATTGTCAGGGATAACAGTTTGTCATGATGCAGCTGCATTACTAAGTGTTCTCTTTGGT